TTCCTGGCATCAGTTGGTGCCTCTCAGGCCTAGCTCACTTCCTAGCCCTGGCAAGGACAGTGATCCCTACTTGCTCTCCTGTCCCAGCAGTGACAAGCCAAGTTTTGATAATGCTCCAGTCCCAGCACTGCTGAGTCCCAGGATAGCATGAAGTTGGCAGAAGCTAGTTGCTGTAGCCACTTAGGTCTCAGAAAGAATGTGGAACCTAGTGTGAGCTCCCTCCCTGGAGCAGTTCCATCCTGCAGTCTCCTGGCTGGTCTGGTCTTCATGTTAGTTTCAGGGTTTGGGAGGGTCAAAGGGCTCTCTCATGGCGAGGGTTATACTATTTCACAGTAGGGATATGAACCGCTAGAAGTATATTACTTGCCCCTTCTCTGCGTTAGGAAGTCACTCCCAGCTCCCAGCCTATTCTGGGAAAGGAGGCTGCCTCTCCTTCCTCTCAGCTTTTAGTTTCTCCTGCTACTTCTCTGCTGAATTCCAGCATCATCTCTTGAATAATGTACTCATATTGTCACTGTCTCTGGTTTTTCTAAGTGGAGGAGGCAGGCATAAAATGGTTTTAATCGGCCATCATAAACAGCCCATCAACATTGTGGTTTTGGTATTTAATTTTCTTTTATTTGTTACTGTAAGTGGAAAATATCATCTTGGTCTATCATGTTAAAATCTTCTTAACTCGTTGTCTGCTTTTGATTGTGATTCTGAGCAGGGGAAGTTCTTGTTGGTTGTGTTCTCAACAGGTTGCTTGCTAGTTCACAGATTGTGGCTGTCACTATTGGAAACCTTATACATTCTGGTGGTGAAACTCCAAGGAAAGGGAATAAAAGTCCTATTTACTTACTAGGTTCCAATTCTGAGTCAGAATTCATGCTGGGTCCTATTACAAATGTGATGTATTCCTTCCAAGAGCCCTATGAAGTGGACCTTATTGTCCTTATTTTGCAGATAAGGAAACTGAGGAGACTTGGGGTCACACAGAATCAAAGTTGAGATATAACCCAAACTTACTCAAAAGCTCACTGGGCTAATGCCAGCATCTACAGGACTCACAGGGAAAAGAGCCATATGGAGAAAGGGAATAAGCATAAAACAGCTACTTAAGTCCATTAATTGTGAACATGCTTGCTTTTTATCCAAGTCTTCCCAGAAATCAATGTATTTTCAGTCCTCTATTAAGTTTGCATTAGGAAGCAACTAGAATGTACATGACTGAAGTAGATGGCTAATGAATATAAATGGTAGCCCCAGGTGAAAAGGACTTAGAATCCCAACAGTCCAGACAACATCCTGTTTGGTGTGACATCTTTACCACAGAAGCTATTTTTCATGGGTTTCCCAGAGATTCCAACCCTAAGTCAGGGATGGAGATTGAAATTGAAGGAAAACTACAGACCAGGAGATTTAACTATTCAGTTGGTCCTCAGCATCCTGTTCTTAATGACTCCCCATGCATCTTGTTTGGAGTGTGGACTCCAACATGGACCATCAGCACCTAACTTTTTAATCAATGGACTATATTAGTGCTTTTAAACTACACATCATGATCCATCAGTGGGTTATAAAATCATTTTATAGAGTTGTGGCCAACATCTTTTAAAAAGTGGAATATGGTAGGATAGGATAGGATAGAAAATAAAATATCAGGATGCATAGTACAAAGCAGGTATAAGTATTGTATTGTAAGCTTGTTTTATGTGGGTGAGTATATATTTATATAAAGGTATAGAAAAACATGCATATATTTATATACACATAGACACAGTGAATATAAATATACACAGGACTATATACGTATAAGTTAATGCAATATCACATGAGTTAGCCATTTGTTCTCCAGCCAAGGAAAATATTTTATATTACCCTGGGACATGCTTTCATACTATTAAAATTTGGACAGCAATGCTCCCTAACTAATAGGAATATAATTAAGTAAATTACTAAGTGTTCTTCTTTATGGTGTATACAAATAAATACTTTATTAAAAGCTAGCAGTCCAACTTGCAAGGATATCAAATGACTAAGATTTTCAAAAATAAAAAATTGAGTGGTGAAATTACAGGTTATGAAAAATATTTTTATTTCATCTATATTTTCTGCTCTTTGCAATAAATAAGAATTGCCTTTTATAAAGAGAAAAATATGGATATATATTTAAAACCAACTAAACTTTCAATGTTTTATACATTACAGAAGAAGCTATTTTTACCACAATCCTTAGAAGAAAAAAATGAAAAATTGCAAAAATGCAGAACAGCTTCCAAGAACAAAATATTCTTTGGTGGTTTTGTTTTATTGATAGAGCCCATGACTAAGCAGTAAGTGTCTAGTTTGTGGACATTTTCTGATGACTGCTTACAACTAACAAGGAGTTTGAGTAAATTTAAACTTTATCACTCCATGACTGTTGAAACAACAGGGAGTTACTGTGTGACTTGAGCTTTTCCCAGCAGGAAAGCCGTCTTCCCATGCCCTTGCTGATAAAGATGGCAACTTAAAAGTGTTCTCAGTATAGTTAGATCAAGGTAATTCTTAAGCAGTAATTTATGAGGCACCAACATTCCACCAATGATTGACTTTGGTCCTCATGATCATCTATGAAGTAGCCACTCATAATATCCCTGTTTCACAGATGAGAAAACTACGGCACAGTGGGAAAGTGAGTGTGACACAGTGCAGACTGCCATGCTAAGGACTTTGGATCTTGAATGATTTATGCAGGGGAGTGAAATATTTCTATCTGTGTTTTGAATAAATAATATGGGTAGCAGTGCATAAGTTGTATCATAGGTGAAAAACACCAAGGGGGTGAAAACTAGTTGAGAGACCTTGCTTCACTCTCTCTCTCCATAGATATTCCAGCCCTGCAGAACTATGAACTATTGTCCAAACATACAAATGACCTAATTATCTAGTGTCCTTTTTACACATTATTCATCTGGTGACAGTTCCTGTCTTCCCTTTATCCCCCTGGCAAATTCCTACTCCCCCTTCAAGAGCTAGTTCATGGGACAGGTCGTGTCTGAAGAATTAGCTAACATGCCCCTTGCCTGTGTGAAAGGCAGAACAATGTGAAAGCAAGAACAGGAATTCGGGAGTCAGACTTACCTGCTCAGCCTCTCGCAAGCTGAGCACTGTCCTCCCTGAGACTGTCAGCTCATCTCTATATTGGGAATAGTACTCTCTAACTTGCAATGTGGGTGTGGGAATTTTCTATGCTATTCTGGCATTTCCTAAGCATCTATAAATTATGTTTGTCCTAATTAGTTTGTCATCCTAAAAACCTACCCTTTCCACCACCAATGGCACCATATTCTATTTTCTCTTAGAATTTTTATCGTGTGTCTACACAAACATTGTCACCTTGGGTAAAAATCACATTAGCTCATGAGCAATGGCTGCAGCTTTCTCACTCCTCAGCTAGTCTCTGCCTTCTGACCCATTGTGGTAGGGTGAATAATGCCCCCCACCCTTGAGATCCCCATGCCTTACTCTCTGGAACCTATGAATATGTCATTTAATGTGGCAAAAAAAGTCTCCACAGGCCGGGTGCGGTGGCTCAAGCCTGTAATCCCAGCACTTTGGGAGGCCGAGACGGGCGGATCACGAGGTCAGGAGATCGAGACCATCCTGGCTAACATGGTGAAACCCCGTCTCTACTAAAAAATACAAAAACTAGCCGGGCGAGGTGGCGGGCGCCTGTAGTCCCAGCTACTCGGGAGGCTGAGGCAGGAGAATGGCGTGAACCCGGGAGGCGGAGCTTGCAGTGAGCTGAGATCCGGCCACTGCACTCCAGGCTGGGCTACAGAGAGAGACTCCGTCTCAAAAAAAAAAAAAAAAAAAAAGTCTCCAGAGATGTATTAAATATCTAGAAATGGAAATGGTTTCTGGATTATCCAAGTGGTTCCAATGTATTCACAAGGCTCCTTATGAGAGGTAGGTAGAGTTAGAGACAGAAAGGTCAGAGAAGAGAGGGGAGATGTGACAATGGAAGCAGAGGTTGGAATGATGCAGTTTGAAAATCAATTGGAGGGGCCATAAGCCAAAGAATGTAGATGCCTCTAGAAGCTGAGAAAGGAAAGGAAATAGATTCTCTTCTAGAGCCTTCAGAAGAAACATAGTTATGATCATACTTTGAGTTTAGCATGTTCAACCCACTTGGGATTTGTGACCCCCTAGAATTGCAAGATAATAAATTTGTATTGTTTAAGCCACTGAGTTTGTGTTAATTTGTTACAGAAGCCATAGATAACTAACATACCAACACTGCAATAACTTCCTTTCTCCTTAGAGAGGAGCAGTGCCTTCCTGAGGGATGAATAAAAACATCAGTATGTAGTACCTCTCCTCGTTTCCAGAATTTGTGGGCATAAAAGTGGAGATTTATTTATTTACATAATTTTTTTTTTTTTTTTTTTTTTTTTTTTTTTTTTTTTGTTGAGACGGAGTCTTGCTCTGTCCCCCAGGCTGGAGTGCAGTGGCCACATCTCAGCTCACTGCAAGCTCCGCCTCCCGGGTTTACGCCATTCTCCTGCCTCAGCCTCCCGAGTAGCTGGGACTACAGGCACCCGCCACCTCGCCCGGCTAGTTATTTGTATTTTTTAGTAGAGACGGGGTTTCACTGTGTTAGCCAGGATGGTCTCGATCTCCTGACCTCGTGATCCACCCGTCTCGGCCTCCCAAAGTGCTGGGATTACAGGCTTGAGCCACCGCGCCCGGCCTACATAATTTTTTTAAAAGCCATCTAGTAATACATAAGTGCTACTAATATTTATTGGCAAAGGTAATAATAATCGTCCAGGTAAATTGTAGCTATAAAGTACTGCAATCATGTAAATGCATGAATATGTATCAGCCAACATGTAATACCAAGCAAAACCAGTATTCAAACCTTCCTTCAAAATACTTTTTGCTTAAAATACCGGAATTTTTTTCTTCCATGAAATTATGTGTCAATACAATTTTTGCACTATTATTAAGAAGTATTTTGACTATACTACAACTTGATTTAATTTGTTTATTTAAAATCATAAGGATAACACAAATATCAGAGGTTCTTTCACAGTTAGATTGAAACTGGAAAAAAAAAAAGTATATTACATAGCAAATGCACACACTTAGACAGCTAGTAACTAACTCTCCAAAAGTTTCTTAACTATTTTCTTGTACAGTGGGGCTTGCAGGTCCAAGCAAATTTTCCTCCCATTCTTCAGCGTGGCTCTGGCAAGGAAAAGAGAAGAGATGTGACCTTCAGTTCTTGAGTTTGCAGATGGCATTAAAAAGGAGAAGAATGGGCAGAGGAGGCACTGAGCCGGGGCACTGAGTGATGCAGTGCAAGGACTCACATCAGTTGGGCAGTGGGGCAGTGGGGTCCGGCCTTGATCACCTCCAGGCTGGTGATGTGCCTGGGACGGACCTGGGAGGTGGTCTTCACACACAGGCACTGCAGGTCCCCATCTTCTTCAGCTTCAGCTGAGGGGAAAAGGGAGGGGGTAAGAGAGGAGGAGGGGACGGAATGGTGACTCCATGAGTAGCCAGAGGTACTTTAGGGACTTTCTCCACTACCTTCAGCCTTCTTTTCCTTAGCCGTAAATCATACCTCCCTCAGACGGAAGTTGTGCCGACCAGGTGCGAAGTGCAGGTGCAGCGCCTGTCACTGTGCCCTGACAGTCAGCAGGCGCTCGGTTAAGTGTAGCTGCGATCATGATGCTAGAGGACTCCCCAGCCCCAGGGCTTCCCGGACTCCCCCTCGCCGCTGGCGGCCCTCACAGCCTTGCTTCTGCTCTCACCTGTGGCGAAGGCGACCACAACTGGCAGGAGCAGCAACCCCAGAAACAGCAGCACGGGGCGTGAGGGGCAGAACCGGGCTGTGGAGCTCATGTTGCAGCAGAGTTTCCAGCAGGATCTCAGTACGATGGGAAAGTCGGGCTGGGTCTCTGTGGACAGTGACTCCTGAGCCTCACCAGGCGCGTTTTATCGCCGGCTGTCCTTCCAGTCCGGAAGCCTGAAGTGGACAGCAAGGAACTGCGGTGCGGAAACTAAGATACTGCTGGGAAGACTTGGGCTCTGGCCAGCCAAGATTACAAAAAAATAAAGAAGAAAGAGGAGGGGGGGAAGGGGGAAAGAGGGGGAAAGAGGAGGAAAGAGAGAAAGAGAAAGAAAAGAAAGGAAGAAAGGAAGAAAAGAAAGGAAGAAAGAAAGAGAGAGAGAGAAAGAAAAAGAAGAAAGAGAGAAAGAGAGAAAGAGAGAAAGAGAGAAAGAAAGAAAGAAAGAAAGAAAGAAAGAAAGAAAGAAAGAAAGAAAGAAAGAAAAGAAAGAAAGAAAGAAAGAAAGAAAGAAAGAAAGAAAGAAAGAAAGAAAGAAAGAAAGAAAGAAAGAAAGAAAGAAAGAAAGAAAGAAAGAAAGAAAGAAAGAAAGAAAGAAAGAAAGAAAGAAAGAAAGAAAGAGAGAGAGAGAAAGAAAGAAAAGGGCTCTGGGCAGCTGCCTTGGCTGGGACCTCCAACCTCAACTTACATACAAGCACATTTGTAGAGTTAGAAACAGAACTTGAGTCAGAAGAGGAATTTTTTTTTGTGTTGTATTAATAATAGAGTTCTCTGTTGTCATCATGCAAATTACACACTAGGCACCTTCAGGACCCTGACAGTTCTGTTTCCTTTCCAACCTCCCAGCTGCAACTACCAATGCTTCCTACTGAGTTTGGTGGCTTTGTGTGTGAAGGGTGTGTTATTTGCAATTGTTTTCTGCTGCTAATAAGTTTAATTTGTTCTCTAGCAATGACTCTTCTGAATTTCACCTGAATGTGGAAAAATTCCTTAGTCTCTAGATGGGATTTGCCAGGCTCCACCAACAATTACCCAGTATGCTATGGGACGCAAGGTCTGTTTTCCCATTACTTGTACTCTTGGAAAAATTGCGGAAGTAATATTTGAATGCATTCTTTTTGTAAAAGCTTAGTGCCTGGCTGTTTCTTCATTGTTTCCATGCTGAATAACAGTCCAGAAGGGAAGACAAGAAGAGTTTCCTAGGCCATGTCTCCCAGTGCCTGCTGTGTCTTCAGCCAGTGCCAGTGACAGGGTGAGATGGGCTGAACTGTTGGCGGGGAGCAGTGATGGTTTCTGCGGGGGGATTCAGGGCATCTGGGAGTTGAATGTGAGAATAATGGAAGGTGAGAGTGGAGGGGATGCAATAGAATCCCACACAGGAAAGGAGAAGAGATCGCTGTGGACTGTCTTCCCTTCTCTGAAAAAGAATGACTTTGGCCCTTTATTAGGGCAAGGTACACCCTCAACCCAAAGTCAGAGGTTCTCTGTCACATTGATTAACAGTGGTGAAGGGTGTCAGGAGACCACTGCATGGAAAAGCTGATATTCTAATACATGGTAGGACTGGACTTCTATAGAAATATGCAATTTAATTGTTGAGCTGAGTAGTTTCTTCCTCCTACTCTCCCACCACTTGCCTTTTCAGCTGACTAAGACTTATTTATACTTCTGGAGTTGGATTAAGTATCAGTTCCTCAGAGGGGCCTTCCCTGACAACTCTACGCAATCATGTTCTCTTGCCTTTCTATCTTGCAGAGCTCTGTTTTTCCTGTTCCTCACAGGTAACACACATGCACACACACGCACACACACACACATTACACAGAGATACATATGTGTGTGTGTGTATGTGTGTATTTCAGAGTGTTAAAAATGGTTTTGTTTCCTAAACTGGAAAACACTATGAAATCAGAGATTATAACATTTATCACTGTTTCAGTGTACTGGTATAGACTCAATTCAAAGTGCTACCTTAGCAAAGATGATGAGTTGAAAACGATGATGATGAAGTTTTAACATGCTCATGTATCTGCTCCTTCAAGCAATTAAAGCATACATATATTAGCATGTGTAATATATAGTTGCAATTATTTGCCTACTTATCTGCCTCTCCTACCACATAGTGATCTTTTCAAGTGCAATTCTCTGTGACTTATATACAGTAGTGTAGCACATAACAACATTTAGGTCAATCATAGACTGCATATATGACAGTGGTCCCTTAAGATTATAATGAAGCTGATAAATTCCTGTTGCCTAGTGATGTGATTCCTACTGCCTCACGGTTGTAAAGTCATAAGAAGCAGTGTATTACTGACATGTTTGTGGGATGCTGGTGTAAACAAACCCACTGCACTGCCAGTTCTATAAAGTATATAGCACATACAATTATGTATAGTACACAATACTTGATCAGAATAACAAACAACTATGTTACTAGTTTACGTATTTACTAACTATACCTTTTATTATTATTTTAGAGTATACTCCTTCTACTAGTTATAGAAAAAACATTAACTGTGAAACAGTCTCAGACAGATCCTTCGGGAAGTATGAGTTGTTATCTTCTGTCTGTTATCATAGGAGATGGCAGCTCCATGCGTATTATTGCCCATGAAAAACTTCTAGTGGGACAAAACAGGGAGTTGGAAGATAGTGATACTGATGATCCTGACTCCATGTAGGCCTAGGCTGATATGAGTTTTTGCATCTTAATTTTAACAGAAAAGTGTGAAAAATAAAAAATACAAAAGAAAACAAAAAACAATTAGCCAGGCTCTATGGCTCACAGGTGTAATCCCAGCCTGAGAGGCTGGGGCAGGGGGATCACTTGAGATCAGGAGTTCGAAAGCAGCCTGGGAACCAAATGAGTCCCCTTCTCAATAACAGTTTTCAAAAATTAGCTGGGCATGATGGTGCACATCTGGAGTGAAGATCAAGGAACATCACTTGAGCCCAAGAGTTTGAGGCCGTAGTGAGCTGTGATCATGTCACTGCACTACAGTGTAGGTGACAGAGAAAGACTTCATCTCTAAAATAAATGAATAAATAAATAAATAGAAAACAAGCTTATAGAATGACGATATAAAGAAAAAACATTTTTGTACAGTTGTACAATGCGTTTAAAGTGTTATTACAAAAGTCAAAACGTTTAAAAATTAAAAAGTTTAAAAATAAAAAATTACAGTAATCTAAGGTTAATTTGTTGAAGAAAAAATATTTTTATAAATTTAGTGTAGCCTAAGTGTACAGTGTTTACAAAGCCTAAAGAAGTGTACAGTCATGTCCCAGGCACTCATGTTCACTCACCACTCACATTCCGTCTCATCCAGAGAAACTTGCAGTCCTACAAACTCCATTTGTGGTAACTGCTCTATACAGGTGTACGATTTTACTCTCTTATACCATATTTTTACTATATCTTTCTACATTTACATATGTTTAGATACACAAATACTTACCATTGTGTTACAACTTCCTATGGTATTCACCACAGTAAAATGCTGTGCAGTTTTCTAGCCTAAGAGCAATAGGCTATACTATATAGCCTAGGCTTGTAGTAGGCTATACCATTTAGGTTTGTGTAAGCACACCCTATGATGTTCACACAATGATAAAATCACCTAATGATGCATTTCTCAGAATGTATCCCAATTGTTGAGCAAAACATGACTGTATTTATGAACATCCTGTATCGAACACAATGACTGTTGCAGAACATTTTGTAATTCATATATGTTTATTAACCTGAGACTTGAAGCCCCTTCTGAGTTAGCGGCAGAGAGAATGAAGGGGAGGGATGATTTTGCATATGGATGGGCAACACGCTAGGTTTGTACAATCTTACACACAGATTTCAATGTTTGCAGTGTAAAGGAATCCAGGTGGCACTGAGTGGCAACTAAATTACTCTTTCCCTGCATGTAAACAGAATAACTCAATACATGCACACAAAAACAGAAGACATCTGCATCTCAGGAGGTATAAACATGGTGTCAACACTGTGCCATGTCTCAGGAGCTGGTCTTGTCAAGTTTCAGTGGGAAACCACCAGACATAATGAGTGAGATGCCTGATATCCTATAATTATTATAGTATATACAATACGCTATTTAGGTATCAAGTTGTATTATGTATGTGAATAATACTACGTTATATGTAATGTAATCTCTTCATTAGAGAAAGAAGAGTTGAGGAAAGCACTGTGGTGTGGCAGTTAAGAGCACAATTTGAAATTACCACTCTGTTACCTACTTAGTTAGCTAAAAGTGGGCAAGTATTTTAAACTCTATAAACTTGATTTTTCTCTTCTGTAATGAGGGGGAGGATAATAATAATCATAAGAAACAATTACTAACATTTATATATGGCTTATTTGTGACATACATTATTTTAAATGCCTTAAATTTATTAACTCTTTTAATCCTTCCATAAACTCTATGAGGGAGGCAATATTATTATCCCCATTTTTCCAGAGGACGTGCTTTTAACCAGATCATATCTATCTTTTAAAAAATTGTTTAGTTCATGCATGCAAAACACTTAGTATTCCTGGCATATTAAAATGATTAATAAATTGGAACTATTATCATACTACATTGAGAATGACACAGATCATCAATTTAGTAACTTTTGTTGGTCATACTGTGAAATACCAAGTATAAAAAAAGGAAAATTAAAGTTTTTTTCCCCAACAATCCTGTTAAAATTAATAATATATGACAACAAATCAATAGCAAATTTTTATTTCATGTGAATATTTTTGTAAGAATAGTGTGGGTTTAAATTTTAGGGTTTAAAAATGAATGAAAGTTCTGTTCATTAAAAAAGCAGAATTTAGAATTAGGAGTCTAGTAAGGTTGAAGTCCTATATTGTACTTATTTATAAGGCTTATTCTAATGCTAGAATTGTTACTATATAGGTATGTTAATTCATTTTCATCATGTATTTTTGTTCTACTAGTGGCAAATACATTCACTTTAAACTAACCACAGATTATAAGACTCATATTTACCAATTTATTATTTTAGGGTTTGATGGCTAAAATAAACATCAAAATAAACTTTCAGGGAGTATTTTAAATAAGACATCCTAGGCCTAAGACACTGAGAGACTATATTAAGTTCTTAAATATATTAACAAAAATGTATTGAGCAAATATTCTCTGCTGGGCTCCATGTGATTCCTATTATCATTGCCCATTATGATATCTGATAATCTCCATGAGTATGTCTAGTAACCATAAAGCAGAGCAGGAAAAATCAACCAAGCTGTGTTTAAATAGAAATTTTTAAAGAAAAAAATGCAAAGCACAGTCCAATGTTTAGCCAATAATTAGAGTTGAAACCAGGCTTATTTATTTTCATCTTCCTTCTGCCATCTTTTAACCAACCTTCTCAGAATAAAATGTGATTTTTAAGACAGAATGAAACACATATCCAAATTTTAATGCAGTAAGAATAGGTATCCCGAATAAATGAGAACTCTAGAAAATCAAGGTTTCAAAATTCTACCCTTTCTGGGAGTTAAAGAAGTTTGGTAGAAACGGAACAAATTAATCAGCAGATTCATCACCTGCCAATTTTTTCTGTACAATTTTCTTAATTCTGGGAGCATCTGGGTCCAGGCAGATTTTCCTCCCATCCTTCAATGTGGCTCTGCAAGAGAGAACAGGGTTATCTGTTGGTGTCCTGGCCTGAATATCAGAACTAATCCATGAGACTGGAGGAAACGAGTGCATATGCGGATGGAGGTAAAGGGTTTCCCTGATAAAGCAATAGCACAGAAACAGCAACTTACATCACTTCGACTTGGTTGCAATGGATTCCTTTCCCGATCACTTCCAAACTTTGGATGTTTTTGGGATGAATTCCAGAGGTTGTCTTCATACACAAGCAGCGCAGTTCAGTGTACAACTCACTGTCTAGACTTTCCTCTAGGGTAGAAAATGTTACCTATTGGTGGCCATGAATATTTTCCTCAGGTCCCTTATTTGCCGATTGAGGGTAATTGTGCCTCTCTCATGAAGCTATTGTGAATATGATCTGTAAAGCTTTAGTAAAGTGCCCAGCAGAATGCCCAGCACACAGGAAGTGAGAAGTGACCCCCCCATGTGCCTCCTCCAATTGGAGTTGTTGATTTAATGGCACTCTCCAGCCCCAGAGGCACAAAGCTAATTTTTACCCCAGACACAGGTGTAGCAGAAACAGCAACAGGTGCAGGGAAGCAGGGCCTCTACCTTTGCCTTTCGCCAAGTTTCTCTTAGTTTGTCCTTTGGTGGAGGAAGCCAGAGCAGTCAGCAGCAGTGACAGAAGCAGCAGCACCTGCAGGGCATGAAGTGGTCTGGCACTGTTACAGGAAGGCATGGTATCAAGTCTGAGGCTCATGGTGGAGAAGGCTGAGCTAGAGTTGTTTCCAGAGCCAGAAGACCGCTGAGTGAGGGTGAGTTACTGCCCACAAGTCTTCAGATAAGTGGCTTCCCATGCCCTGAAGATGTCATTTATATGCTCTCTCTCAAAGCCAGTAAGAAGGAAGAGGTAGGGAAGGAGGAAGTGGGGGTATGTGGTGATACACACATAAGCATTTGAAGCTGTGCCCAACCCAGAGAAAGACCAGAGAGGTCAAAATTGTTACTAGGTTGCATATTATGCATCCCTTCACATTCCTACTGTCCCTTTCTCAACACCTATCTGTCTTACACATATGTAAGAACTCCGTTCAAGAAGGTAAGAACTAGACTGAAATACTACATGCGTTTTCTTTGTGTGATTTATAACAATACGCCCTGCCATTTCTATAATGCAGTTTTTAGGCTTAATAAAAACTTTAGGAGCACCTGGAGGCACAAACATGTGGCCCTTGAAAGAGAAAGTTATCTTTCCTTGTTAGTGCCAAAGAAGGCAAATGTTCTTTTCATAGTTGTTGATAAATGGGACTGGTTTTGAGCATGTGAATAAAATAAGAGCTAATTACCATCAAAGGTTGTCTTTGGATTTTAGGTTATTGGATTCTTTCTGCCTTCAATCTATATCATATTTTATAATTTCATCTAGAAACTACAAATGAAACTCATCCTCCTTTGTATTACAAAATAAGCTACTTGTTTCTACCACCTAAGAATACTTAAAAAGCAGGACCCAGCATATTTACTTTTCTTTTTATTTATAACAGAAAAATTATATAATTTATTGCAAAAGATTCATACACTGCAGATATATTTGAAGTAAAACATAAATTTATCTTCATCATTTTCATTCCTACTCTTCAGTGGTAAATATTGGTAACAATTTTGCATTAGTTTTCAATTCTATCTGCATTTATATGCACACATGTAAATGTATACAGTGAGACATGTTTAAGACATAGAGATACACATATATGTAGAAGTATTGTATATGGATGACTATACAGGTGATTTTTATCCTTCAAAAAATATGTGTTCAGTATCTTTTCATGCCATCTTAATGTAGTTTTTCCGCATCCTTCTTAATGACCACATGACGTCCTATGGTAAGAAGAATAGTTACTCAACCTTGTCTTGTTGGTGCCCTTCAGGGTGTTTCCAGTTTTGCCCTATTAGAAATAGTGCAAGAAATGCCTTACCAAGCAAAATATTTGTTCCTGAATTCTCAGACCCAAATTAAATGTTTTGGTCTGAAATGCTTTAACCCTACAAAGATAGAGAGGTGGACCTACACATTACATGTTGGCTTTATGTTATTTTCTGGTTCTCTGTCCCATCTGTAACACTTGCTTCCTCAACTGAACCATACAATTTTGTAGGGAGTGGCATGTCCTGTGTTTCTTTGAATGTCTCATGTCTCCTATAACATGTAGGATACTTCAATACAAAGTAGGTCTTAAATAGTTAATAAATCAAGGAATTTGTATCACATGAAAGTTTGCCTATTTTTTCTAATCACCTACAATTCCAAGCCAAATTCGACAGGACCCAAAGCAACTATACTATTTAAATTGATTTGGAAGCTTGTCAATAAAGAAGAGGCAGATACAAGTGGCCCTGGCAACAAGTTTTCTCCCTTTTACAACTATGTATAAGTCTCACAGAATATTATTTAAATTTTCCATATTCTTTTTTTACTTTTCATATCTTTAAATTTTAGAAGAAATACTTAAAATACTAAATGTTCAAAATTATTCTCTATCAAAAGGATGAACATAGCAATTTTTTAAAATTGTGTTTTTGTTTTCAAGCCAATTTTCCCTATTGTTTAATAGTTATTTACTATGTCTACTCAAGTTCTCGGGTCCTGTTTTTAAATGTGATATAACCTACAGACCACATTTGGCAGTTTACTTTAGAAGTAAGCAGACTTCCAAATTAACTAGCCTTGGAAATGTTTCGTGACTTGATGGTGACATTCTACCTCTGAGTAAAGTATTTTATTATGAGTTCCTCAGGTGGTTGATGTAGTAATTAATGTAGAACCTACTGACACTAAATAGGGCAATGATTTATTTCTAAGTTTAGCTGCAACAAAAAGTTTGATTGATTGTTTTGCATGTAGACGTTTAACCTGTATGCTGTAATTTGTAAGTAATGATTTTAACTTCGGTATTGTACCCTCCCATGAAAAAGAAGACAACTCTCATATAGCTTTTTCTGCCTTATTTTAAGCTTTTCTATTATAGAAAGCCCTTGTAACTTGTGAAAGACTCTAGAACACCCCCAACTTTGTGGTTGTGTCTTCCCAGGTCTATCTTCTCATTTGGCTTTCAATAAACATGTATAAAATTATTCTGCCTCACTAACCTTAGTTTCAGTTGATGAAAGTATGTCTTATTTTTCTCCACCCCGTTTATTATTTTCTTATAAATTAGAGTTTAGCAGTAGAACATATTTAATTGAAATGATTTTTCTCCCTGTCTCAACACAGAAATTTCTGGTCTTAAGCAAGCTTAAAGGAAGGGTGTAAGCTGAGAGTTCGGGGTCTTCTGAGAGTTGAGATGTGGAGTCAATGGCAGAGATAAGTTCAATAGGACACAAAATGAGGAGAGCAGACTTCTATTTCCTCCTGTGGGGTAACTTTATAGGCTTTTGTCATTATTGAGTTTGAGATATTGTGAATTCTTAAGTCATATACATTTTCATTCAAACAAAAGATCAAAGTCATTTCTAGAGCAAGATATAAAGGTTTTTTTTTAACACTATTCATAGTATATTTCATTTTCTGTTCAACCCCAAAATACATTGCTGAGAACGTTTATTGGCCTCACTGGTCACCTTTTTCTTTCCCTACTTTAACACTATCCAGATTTCTTTCCTTGTTCATTAGTAAGATTTCCTAAAAGTCCCTAATCTTTTTGAGGAAACTGTATGAAAAGTTTTCTAAAGTAATGATGCTTTTGACTGGGTTGATACCAGGAAAAAGGTAGGCTCTTTCCTACCAGGAAACCAACTAGTGGGTTGACATCAGGAAAGAGGTGACTCCAGTATCATGGAGTCATTGCCTTAATCAACAAATGTGTCTTGTTGCAAAAAACGCATCGTCGGCAAAATCCATGAGGCAATAGTGACAGATTTCTTGAGTCATCAAAATTTCATAAGGATGTCAGTCAGCATTTGATACAAAAAATATTTTGCTAGTTTTTATTAATTCAAAAAATATTGGTTAAGCATCGATTGATTGAGCCTGAACTTCGTAACAGATTTTACAAAGTTCTCTTTGCATGACTTGGTCATTTGATTATTTGTTTTTAAAAATTCAGGCCTAAAATATTTGTGTAAAGCAACAGGATATGAAAAATACTCTAATCTTGCTGCTTTGATGACAACTGCTGTCATCAGTTAACGGTGGTTAACTGCTGTTACTGTCGTTTGCATCATTGCCTTCCATTTCCACGCTGAGAAACACAGTACAGATGATGATAAACTGAGTGTACAAAACTGGTTAAAAGATGTTTTTGAATAACTTATTCAGTTAAAATCATACAGTCATACAAAATTATTGTTTAAATAAATGCTAGAATTAGAAAAGAGTTATTTTGTTCCTTGTTTTTAAGATAACTTAACAGCCATTTTATCAATCTTACATTGTCATTGTGGGTTTGTGTATGTGTGTGTTGGGAGTGCTAAGTTATTTTAGCTCTTTTTTCTTTAAGTCATCTTATAAATAGCAGAGTCATGAAGGAAGCAAGCAAATTATCTAAGACTCAAAGCACATTCTATGTTAGCTATTTTAAAAGAAAATATCTAGAGACATTGGAGGACCACTATCTATAAAATTAAGACATATATTACTTCTTCTCTGCCTCATACAGAACATTTTTAACACGCATTTCCCAAATCCTTCTTTCAAGTATGAAGGAAGTAGACTACCAGCTACAAATTAATCGTAAAAGCAATTGGTACCGAAAATGCTAAGGATAGTACAATTTTGAGTCTGTTTGTTAAAGTATCTTAATCAACAAATTTAAAAGACTATCCATCAAAAGTTTTTCTGTAAGTGCTGAAACCAAATGTGCTTACCATATAACTGTGAGTTGACAAGAATTGTTCAGATGTTAATTGAGGTTTTACTGTATACTGCTCAGAGGTGAAGCAAGGGGTGAAAATGGGAGGAGAGTGGGGAGGGTGAAGGAGTCGAGGGAAAGGTATCTTTCTAGGTGCCATTATATACAATACTTCCAAGCTTTGCAGGACTCAGAATTTGTGTTTTAAATTACATTGATTAATAACATTTGTTCAATCTCAAATGTATGCAAGTTACCTAGTTTCCTTACATACTCATTCATTAAGGAAATTCCAACATAATGTTCTAGAGCCTGCAAACACATTAAATTGTTAACAAATACCATTAATTCTCTTTTGTTGTGTAATAAACTGACCTCATAGTTAGTGGCTTAAAATATTAATTTATTGTTTCTGATAATTCTGTATGTTAGCGTGAGGTTCTTCTGCTAAGCTCACTTAAGTGAGTGCAGTCAGGAGCAGCTGAAGTGGCTGAAAATAAAAAGTGGGACAATAGGGTGACAATAGTCAATGATGACTTAACTGTGCATTTTAAAATAACTCATAAAGAATGTAATTGGATTGTTCGTAACCCAAAGGATAAATGCTTGATGGAATGGATACCGAATTCTCAATGTGCTTATTTCACATTGCCTGCCTGTATCAAAACGTCTCATGTACCCCATAAATATAAACAGCTACTATGAACCCACAACATTTTTTTAAGAAATAAGAAAAATAATAAAATAATTTAAAACAAAATTTTAATGGCTTGATTCACATGAGATGTAGTTGGTATTGGCTGCTGGCTGCGATTTCTACTGGGGCACCTGGGTTCTTCTGCTACTCTTTTAAATAGAATTATTTAACTTCTCACTAATCAGCAGAAATGAGGAATGGCGGGAGAGAAGGAGAACAGGCAAGGGGAGGGGAGGGAAGAGAAGAAGAAGGAAAAGCAGAGAAGGAAGAAAATAGAAAGGAAAAAAGCAGGCAAGTCATAGGCCCTTCCAACACCCTCCTCCTCTCATCCTTGTCTCCTCTAGTCTTCTGTCTTCTACTTCTTCCCCTCACCTCTTCTCCCCTTTCTTCCACTGTTCTTACCGGAAAATCTTTGTTCTGTGGAAAAACTGAGTATATTTGCAGCAGAAAACCTTAACTTAGACTGAGAGTTCCTCATCTTTGTAATTTCCAGATCATAAGGGTCCTGCAAAGATAACAGGCATGCAACAGGATTATTGATTAATATCAATAAATTAATATTTGATTGATAAATATTTATACAAAGGAAAATACATCATATATTCTGATAGTTATTATATAATTGACAGAAAATATATAGAGAGTACATAGTTTCCAGAGCTTCTTTAAAAGACTCCGGTGGCTCGCTCCTGTAATCCCAGCACTTTGGGAGGCCAAGGCAGGCAGTTTATGAGGTCAAGAGATCAAGACCATCCTGGCCAACATGGTGAAACCCTGTCTCTACTAAAAATACAAAAAAATTATCTGGGTGCGGTAGGGCGTGCCTGTAGTCCCTGCTACTCTGGAGGCTGAGGCAGGAGAATCGCTTGAATCCGGGAAGCAGAGGTTGCAGTGAGCCAAGATCGTGCCACTATACTCCAGCCTAGGCGAGGGAGTGAGGCTCTGTCTCAGAAAAAAAAAAAAAAAAAAAAAAAAGAAAAAGAAAAAAGACTCAGAGCATATTCAAATTTATACAGGTACATGCCAGTATAAACATGTATAATATAATCCAACTGCAATGTGAATGTATGTACATACATACTAATATAATTAATCTTCTTTCTTTCCTTTTCCTGTGTTTTGTAAAAGAGCAATTTCATATAAATACCTATTCTTAGGTATTTATATAGTAAATTTGAGGGACAAGGGAAGTTGAAGTACTGATCAGGGTTGGGATGAGACAACCTCGTTTGTCATTTAGATAGGGAAATGTTCAGCATAAATACCTAAGAATATGTATTTAAATGAAATTGGTCTTTTAATTTTAGAGTGACAAGGGGACTTGTTTAGCCTAGATCACTTGCTTTTTGAATACCTTGTATGTGCTAGGCACTGTCCTAAGAACTGAGATGAAGTTAATAAGCATTGTCCCCGCCCTCATAAAGCTTACATGAAGCTAGAATAGAGAGACTCTAAACAGATGACAATAAACACATGGACTCAATAAACTCTACAGTAACTTTGGTGAGAAAATTTTATGAAGTTAAAGTACAGAGTGCTAGGAGAGGGTATAAAAGGGGCCTACTCAAAGGTAGGAGTAGGGGTTGGAAAGGTTTCCTCAAGGAAGTAAAAGGCAAGCTATTCCAAAAGGAAGGATGGTAGTTACCCTGGTAAAAGTGAGGGGAGGTATTATAGATTGAGATGCCAAACCCCTTGTTGGACTACTGCTAGACAAGGAGAAAAGAGGGTAAACAAGTTATAATTTATTTAAAACCAAGCACGGTGACTCATGTCTGTGATCCCAGTACTTTGGAGGCTGACCTGAGGTCAGGATTTCAAGATCACCCAGGCCAACATGGTGAGATCCTGTCTCTACAAATATACAAAAATTAGCTGGGCATGCTGGTAGGTGCCTGTGCTCCCACGTACTCGGGAGGCTGAGGCGGGAGAGTCACTTGCAGTGAGCTGAGGTCATGCCATTGCATTCCAGCCCGGGCAACAGAGCAAGACTCAGCATCAAAAAAACAAAACAAAACAAAACAAAACATAAAACAAAAAAAAAACACCTATTATGAGCCAGGTTATTGAATTTAGAACAGTATCTGACAGCCTGAAGATCAGGATAACTAGTTAATTCATTAAGTCCTGCATTAATGCTACACTGGGGATGCAGAGGTAGATATAATATGGTTAATGCTCTGGGAGAGCTAGAGTGGATGAAGAAACCTATAAATAAGTAAGAGTAATGCAATATTTTTGTTGTAATTCAGATAATGAGATGTTATGGGAACATCAAGTTGGAAGCTATGAGCTCTGCCAAGGAAAACACAAAGGAGATATTACTTGAACTGAGTTCTTAAGGATGAGTAAGCCTCCTCTTATATGCAGGTAGTGGCCCTAGCAAATGCAAAGTCATAGGCCTAGGAAAGAACATGCCCAGTTAGGGAACTGAACACCTGACTGTAGTGAATTTGAGGGACAAGGGAAGTTGAAGTGCCGATCAGGAGTGGGATGAGACAGAAAGAACATCATCTGTCATACTTAGAAACTTTATTTTATTTCTAGGAAACAATTTAGATAAGGAAGAATTTAGAGAAGGAAATCTTTGTGTTTTCCAAAGACCCCAGAGGCCATTGGGTCTGTGAAGGAATAACTGGAAGGGAACTGAGCTTGGAGAAAGGTTGAACCAAAGCAATGGTGTTGGGGAACGACGGCCTTCTCTGCCAGGCACAGAGGAACAGAGTTAGTGTTTTAAATTATATAGAATTAAAGATAAGTAAAACGTATTATAACAGCATAGGAAGGAGAAACAATATAAGTGAAGTTTAGAAATCTTTTAATGCTTATTCAAAGGACAAAATAAAGACTATGAACCAATGAGACACATAGTAAAAAAGTACAATTTTAATATAGTGAATGTAATACATATGTAATTCCTCATAACAAAATGGTCAAAACCTTTAAAAGATAAGAATGTCTAAAATTATAGGAAGATATTAGCCCTCATAGAACGTAAACTTTTAAAAATTCTGAATAAGGAAATATATTCTACATAGATAAGGTGCGATATACTCAGCTTTCTAAAACAAAATAATTAAATAGTATCCCACGATCAAGAGTAAGGAAATTCTCTGACATATTCCCCATGAAACATTAAAATATTTCCTATTTCTTAAAAAGGTGAAGATAACAGTGTATCTCCATCGACAGAATTCTTATGAAACATCATTTCCATATTAAATCCACAGCCTTCTCAGTTAATACATTAAGGAATATTTCTTGGAGATACAATAGTCACCTTCAATTCAAGACACTTTGAAAGATTAACAACCAGTGATTCTTGGCTCACAGTATAGTCAATTGCCAAAAACTTCAATAGCATAGCAGATAAAATAACAGCAAATAGCAGAGGTACTGTGCTAAACACTTCGTTAGCTGAGCTGAAAGCTTAAGGGGCAAACATAGGTTTTCCTCACACTCTTCAAAGTGAGGAATCCAGGAAGAAAGCTAACTACTGGAAAAACAAATAAACAAACAAACAACAACAAAATCCTTCCTTCTTGTCTTCCCTGGGTCCAGAGACCTCCAGAAAACTGCTCTGCTGAAGACTGGGAAACGCTTCCATGCCTACTCATTTCTCTTCATCAGTTGTCCTTGTTTTCACTGTTGAGAAAAAGATGATATTAGTTTAACCATTTTTTGCACTCCTTTCTACTCCACCCTGGTGTCAACACTCAGCGTTTATAATGCTTGGTAAAAAAGGAGTATACAAAATCAATACAAGCAATGGGGAAACACAAAGCATAACTAGCTACAAGCTGTGTGTAATTGCTCAAGTAATTACATGTAAGATTGGTAATAAAGATTATCCCAGGACAATCCAGAAAAATGTTCCCAATTTAACAACCTTTTAATTCTAAACGTGAAAAGTTACTTAAATAGTACAGAGAAGAAAGACTTTGTGAAGTCCATGGTTTCCCTAGATGAGATTTAAAAACCACAAAAATCAAAGTGATAAGTACCCGTCCAAAATTTTCTGGATGACTTTCTTTAGAAAAGGGGCTTGTGGATCGAGACAAACTTCCGTCCCGTTCTTCAGGGAGGCTCTGAAGGAAAGAAAAGGAAGATACACTCATGAGATAGCAAGGTTGAAGACCCAGGCTGCCGGACTTCCCTCTTGCCAAGGTCACAGTGGACAGAGCAGCACAGAACTTACACCACTTCCACCTCGGAGCACTGCGGGCCTATGGCGAACACCTGCAGATTACTGATCATTTGGGGTTGAACTCCCTGCGTGGTCTGTAAACAACTGCAACGCAGCTCTCTCATCGCAGCAGCGACAGGACCAGCTGGGGAAGAAAGAGAGACACCTTTATAGGGCAGGTTGCTTGGTGAGTTTCCTGGAAGGCAGTTGCCCCGCAGAGGCTGGGATGCACCGCTGTGCCCCAGTGCGTCCCGCGTGCCAGGCGCTCTCACCTGGGCTGAGGGGCCCTGGTGGCGTCAGCAGCAGCAGCAGCGCGAGCAGCGCGCACAAGTAGCCCAAAGGACCCGGGACACGGGCCGGGCGACTGGACAGGAGGCTCATAGTGGTCAAGAGATCCCTGAGAGCAGTCGCAGGTTCCTGAACTGAATGGAGGAGCAGAGATTGGAGGATCCTGAGCACTGAGACTTCCTAGCGTCTTTTGAACTCCTTTTATAACATTCATCTCTCCCCACTGACAGGAAACTCAAGCTTTGGGATGCTGGGGAAATTCCCTGAATTCAGGGGGCAGTGTGGAAAGAAGCGGGGTGGGGGGGCAGACAGTGGGGAGGGTGGCCTGGAGGAGCTGCGGGCACCTCTACCTAGAGGGACATTCTCCACCTGCTCCGCGGTGGAGGGAGCTGTGACTCCAGCCAGAAGGGAGCAGTGATTCAGCCTCAAGCCCTGGGCCTCAGGGGGTTAGGGATGCTGGCGTTTCTGAGGCAGGCAGCTCTCTGGGAGATGCTGCTCCTCTCCTTCTAGAGAGAAAAGGTGGAACCAAAGTAGCAGGAGCCTTGATTTGAGAAAAATTTCTCAAAGTCAGTCTTTCTAATTATTATTACTATTAATCCAGGAAATGTTATGCATGTTTGAATTGCTCTAAACTGAAAGTCCTTCCTGTCTTCCTGGCAAGCAGGTCATTGTAGCTTTCTTGAATGACTTTATGATTCTCTGGACTTCAGCCAGGTTTGGAAGCCAAGATAACATGATAACAAGAGACCCTTGTCTCTTGCCACTTGAAGTCAGTGGCCTGAAAGGACCACCACTGAATTTTGTTGACTCCCCCACAGATCACCTTCTTTGGTGTGTAAGTCTGCTTACTGAGAATTCTGTACTTGTAGTATACCAAGTACATGTGTGTCCAGGTGGTTAAGCAAAAATCTTCCAAAGTCACCCAGCAAATTGCCACGGAAGATACCTTGCTGTTGGCAGTTGCTATGCTATTGAATTGGAAGAGGTTTTGGTCTTCTTGGGGGTGAGGTGTAGTATGGTGAGCACAGGCTAAAGCTTGCTAGGGATCCCAGGCCTGCCCCAGCTCTGAACCCACCCACAGATACATATTTGACACCATTTGGAGATGCTGTAGGAGGCTGATGAGTTTGAGGGGCTTGTGTGAAAGTTTCTTGTAGGGGTTTGTATCAATTTGGCAGCACTACAGCACCCAGTCTGTTTCCCCTCAAACTGCATGGAGGAGGTAATGCTCCCCACAAGCTTCTGGAACTATTGAGTTTCATGATTACTGGTGATCAAGGCTGTTCCCACAGGCCTACTCTAGTCCCCAGTGAGCTGTGCACTGCTGCCTGAAATTGAAAGGTGAAGTAGCTTCCAGCTTCCTCTCCCTCTCTCCTTCTGTTATCTGTGGAGCAGTAAAAGCGCTGAAGGTTTAAGGGTCTTCCACTGTCTTGCTCCATGCAGGAATGGCTATTGTATTGGAATGACACATCGGCTTTCTTTCACGGAAATCAAACTCGATCTTCTTCTGGCTGGTTCTGAAGACCCTTGCTCTCACAGGAGAGCATAGGTAATCAGTAAGCATGATGGCAATGAGAAACCAGTCATGAAACATAACTCTATCCCTTGTCTCCTATGATTCCAGGAATTTTTTTTAACTCCCCCATCCATCACTTTCATTGGTGAGCAAGAAAGAGGTGTCATAGACCTTTACAACTTTTATTCTGGAAGGAAACTTCAGAAATTCACTAGCTGAGTAAGGTTGGGTGGTATGGGCCTTACTCTGCGGGAAACTACATGAGAAGTCCTCACAGCTTCCTGACATTATCAGCATCATACCTGACTCGGCAAATGGAATTCTTCATTTTTTTGGGGAGTGGTGATCTGTAGAAAACAGCCTGCAGATTTAGTATATTGCCATTTTAGAGATTAGAGTGTATCTAAAGACAAAAGTTAAGCCTTGGTGAAGTGATAAGACTTCAAAAATCTTGGACAATTAAATTCAACTTAACCACAGGGAATAAACCATAGTATAAGACTTTGCTTAAAAAAAACAAACAAACAAAAAACCTTTTTTTTTTTTTTTTTTTTTTTTTTTGAGACAGAGTCTCGCTCTGTCTCCCAGGCTGGAGTGCAGTGGCCGGATCTCAGCTCACTGCAAGCTCCGCCTCCCGGGTTTACGCCATTCTCCTGCCTCAGCCTCCCAAGTAGCTGGGACTACAGGTGCCCGCCACCTCGCCTGGCTAGTTTTTTGTATTTTTTAGTAGAGACAGGGTTTCACGGGGTTAGCCAGGATGGTCTCGATCTCCTGACCTCGTGATCCGCCCATCTCGGCCTCCCAAAGTGCTGGGATTACAGGCTTGAGCCACCGCGCCTGGCCAAAACATTTTGATTACATAGGTTATTGACTTTTAAACTGTGTGTGTCTTTGTGTGTGAGTGTGTGTGTGTTTAGGTTAGTTCTAAATAAACTATTTTAAACATAAGTGAACATGTGAATTTGTTTTTGGCACCAAATGGTGAAATCTGAGATGGATCATGAGACAAGATTGCCAGTTCCTCCTGACGGTCTTATAAATGTATATATCTCACCTGGTTTGCACTCTGAATCAATTCACTGTAGCTTGTTTATGGAACACAAGGAGAAAAACAATACTTCTTTAGCTGAGCAGCTGGTGATAGAAAGTTCCCACTAGAAGTGGGCTGTTGGGTTGCCCAACCTAATCAGGAAGCAATATGTCACTTAAACTGGCTTCTCATGGAAATCACTCTGGCCCACTGCCCGTGTCTGGCTCCTATATAGGCATTTTGGATGTTGGTTTTGTACAAATGTGGATGCTCCAAAGGTCCTCTGAGGTTGAGTATGACAGCACCAAGAACTACTGAAGACACAGCACTGTAACAGTAGTTGCTTTTTAATCACCCATTTAAACAAAAGCCATTTGTCTTATCTGCACTGTATCCAGGTGATAGAGAAGAACTCTATTATTTTTGTTCCCAACTAAAATAGAACAATTCATCCAATGATATCAGCATCCTGATAGCCTGAAAGCTTAACTGTCTGTCTAAAGCAATCCTATTTTAGTCATTCTACCACAGTATAATGTAATATAAACTAACACAGTATAAATGAATTTCGCCTTCCAAAACACTTTCATGTTCATTATTGCTTGAGCCTCACATTGATTCTTAGAGAAGAGAAATTTTCTTCCCATTTGGCAGCTAGGGAAAGTAAGTAGAGAATGAGTTAAGTAGCAGAAAATCCAGCACTGGCAGTCAAGCACCAGAGAATCTGCCCCAGTAATTTTTAATGGTTTCCAGATTACAAACCACTTTCTTCACAGTTGCTGGCAAACAACCCCCAACGACTCTCCACGATCGATCTGGCTAACCATTTTATTGTGTTTCCCAACAACCATATTTTAAGCTGTTGAGATCCTCAATCCTTCCACTCCTGTGTTTGAGATTGCAGTAATATCAAGGGTCCTGGAGCCTTCCAAGTTATCCCACCTGAAACTGTCCTCCGCTTTCTAAACCCCTCACTGTCTTCCAGGTAGATTCAAAGTCCTTTCTTCTTTGAAAAGTCTTATTCTGACAAAGTCATTTGTAGGGTATTGCTTCCACCTTTGCTCTTTGAACATCTAGTGTACTTGTAATAACTACCTCATGAGGCAGAGTTTAATTCTTCCCTAATTTTGCCTTTGTCTTCCTCAAGTCAACTATAAACTCCTTAAAATCAGTGATGATGTCCTGCATTACTCTCATAGCCGCCCATAATTTCTTAGTATAGCAGCGAGCAGTCTGTGAATACTTGCTGATGAATAATGATAATACCTTCTTGTTTTGAATTATACGGTGTTCTTTACCTTGCAATTAGGTCTTAAAGAGGAAAGGATGGGGCTGTGTACTGTTGTTAACTCCTCTGTTTTTCTAAACTCTACAATGTTGAATTGGTTGTCTCCTACATGGGATATTATTTCCTGGTTATTCTTAGAGAAAGTTCGAATGATATTAATATTTTCCTTCTTTGGAATCCAAACATTCAGAAGAATGTTCAGAACCCACAAAGATGTTTTATATCAAAAGAAATACAATTATACAACTAAAATATTGACCAAATAACATAGTTTCTATGATTTGAGATTGTAGGTTGTAAATGACAAGGGGAAATTCTGATTATGTTATACTGTGATGAATGTTAACACTGTGTGTGCGTCATTCTCAACTGATCTTTTCCAGCAAACCAGAGAAGCCTATAATTATGCGATTTAGTATTTGGCATAGGCCTTTTCAAATGTTTTTCTTAGGTTCTATTTTTTTAAATATCCACTATTCTTTATATTACCTTTAAGAAATGCTATACAATTGCAGTAACTAAGGATGTGAGCACATTGTTATCAGGTTAAGCATATCGAGGGTAACAGTATAAGGAAGGCATATCGAGGGTATCAGTATAAGGAAGGCAATAAGAGTTTAAGTGGAGGATAGAGTTACTTGTATGCAAAAGAAAAGAAAAAGGGTAGTAACTCTCCGATTTAAGTTGCAATGTAAATGCAGTTTGTCTGTCTCCTTCTAAAGGGGGCTGGCAGTCCAATGAAGCAGCAGCAGCATTCAGGGAATAACACTGCTTCAAAGTCGCGTCACTTTTGCTATAAAATGTCAGGAATGTTTTCTTTCCTTTGGCCAATTATCTAATTTCCCTTGCTGCCCGTTTCAGGTAATATCTGTTGGAGGAGCAAATCAGTGAACCCTGATTGGGTCTATACCGAGCTAAATTCCAAATAATCATAGCTGGGTTTTTCTTTCCCACCTTCTGTGTGGATGGGGCGGCTGGTTATCTATTGTACAACTGTGCAGACCGCAAAAAAGTTTTTGTTGACAAAAAGAGTTGATATATGGGAAAAAGAAGATGAAAATGTCAGTTTTAAATGTTTCTGAAAGCCTTGAGCTTCTCAGAAACAGGAAGTCTTCATTGCTTTCTTCAGAAATTTGTTCTGGGCTAAGTGAGCAAAACACTTTTTAATGTCAGATATTTTAAATAACTTGGAGAAAGCATTTCTATGATACTACAAAAGTCCTTTATATAAACTGGATTTCTAATATTGTGCTTAAGAA